TAGATCTCTGTGAGCCTGGTCTACAAAGTAAGTTTCAGGACAGCCAGGGTTGTTACACAGAGAAACCGTATCTCAAAAAAAAAAAAAAAACAAAAATAAAGGAAAGAAGTTCACTTGTACATTTAGAAAATCCAGCAAGTTCACAGAAACTAAAGGAAAGTATTTTAAAACATATGAATATTCATTTGAAACTGCATTGATCTCTGAATCTTCCTCTATAGCAGTGTTAAATATCTAAAAGAGTCCTTACCTTTGGCATCCCGTAACAGAGACTGCCGACCAACACCTAGTAATGTCTGTACCCCAGGGACACTCTGAGGGATCTCCTTATCTAACAAGGGACCAATCCTCTCACAAATTTTAAGGAGGTAGTCTGGAGGAATGTGTGCATTGGCTGCCACCTAAAAACCATAAAAAGAGCATAGGGAAAAAACACTTAGTTCTAAGGTATCAACTCATTCCATAGTAGAGCAAAGTATTTTCAAATATGAAATCAAGAAAATTAAAATTAATTATCTAATATTTGAATGAATTTTAAGAAACAGGCACACACAACGGGGCTGGACAGATGGCTCAGCGGCGAAGAGCACGTACGACCTTGCAGACAGTTTGGTGCCCATACTGTAATGCCAGGAAACCTAACACACACACACACACACACACACACACACCACTTAAAATAATTAAAAATACATATTTAAAAAAGAAAGACACAAAATAAGCAGGGAGTATTTAAATGATGCCATAGCACAATGTTACAAAGCACAAGCCTCTATTCAACAGATTAAATCACTTTAACCTAACGCTGTATAAAATGTGCTACAAAATAGCAAACACGATCACGTCAAGAATAAAAAACATAAAAATTGATGAGTAAACTCTCTGGCTTCATTTATTCAGTACTGAGAAGTAACTGGCTAAGAAAAGAATCTGGGCCAGGCGGTAGTGGTGCATACCTTTAATCCCAGCACTCGGGAGGCAGAGGCAGGAGGATCTCTGTGAGTTCGAGGCCTGTCTGGTCTACAGAGTGAGTTCCAGGACAGGCTCCAAAGCTACCTGTCTCGAAAAACAAAACAAAAAAAAACAAAACAAAAAAAAAGAAAAGAAAAGAAAGAAAGAGAAAAGAAAAAGAAAAGAATTTGAGGCAAAAATCAGGCAGATAACGTTCTGTGAGTTCAAGGCCGGCCTTGCAGTTCAAGGCCCCCTAAGGAAACTTAGTAAGATCTTGTGTCAAAGAGAAAAGCAGAAAGGACTACTAGTGCGTAGCAAAGTTGTACATACTTAAAATTCTAGCACTTGGGGGTTGAAGCCTGTCACAAAAAATTACAAAACTTACAAAAAGTTTAAAGCTAGCATGCATTAAGTACTGACTGTGTCACAGGTCAGCCCTGAGCAACGTAGCAAGACTCTTTCTCAAAAGTACTAACAGGTATGTATCACCACACCCAGCATTTCGGGTCAATTGTTTTCATAAACTTTTGCCAAAATTAACTGTAATCTACTAAACTAGGTAGAACCTAGGCAATGGTCATGATATTCAGATATAACAGCAACCATGTTGCTTCAGGTTTGTACTTAGAAAGTTCAGCTTTAGGTTTGGATCAAAGGTCAAGGAAATACTTTGCTTTATTGTTCACATCTTCAGTTTGCTTTAACAGCCAAATACTTATAAAGAACTCTACTTCGTTATAACATGCAAATAATAGTAAAATCAAAGCACCTGGTGATTCGATCTAAAAATATGATCTATAGAAACTGATATCCTAATGTCTCAGTACATGATAACTACTGTTCACATTAGCTTATTTAATAAGTATGCCTCATGTACATATACAGTATATAAAAAAAGCCTTATGGCAGTATATATATATATACACCCCATGCAAATTTTCCAACACTCTTGGACATACTGAGCTCCTTATAGCAAGTAAGTGTTATATGGGAGACTCTACATGGATGTCTTTCTTGGCAAATATTTTCTGCCCTCGACCAACTTAACAATTATTTGCACTTGTTATAAAACCTTAAATAAGGCCAGGCAGTGGTGGCGCATGCCTTTAATCCCAGCACTCAGGAGGCAGAGGAAGACGGATCTTTGAGAGTTCGAGGCCAGCCTGGTCTACAAGAGCTAGTTCCAGGACAGGCTCCAAAGATACGGAGAAAGCCTGTCTTGAGGGAAAAAAAAATCTACCCTAGAGGTAGAGTATACCTAGTAATACATGATGCCCTTCCCCAAGTCCCTCAAAAAAATTTCACTGCCCGAAGAGAAATGGCAGTCTCTGTGGAGAAAACAAACTAGAAAATAGAAATAAATCAAAACTCAAAGTGCCAGAGGTTAGTATAGAGACCTAAAGAAGCAAAAAGAGCCGGGCAGTGGTATACACACCTTTAATCCCAGCACTCAGGTTGCAAGGGCAGGCAGATCTCTGAGTTCCAGGCCAGCCTAGTCTACAGAGTAAGTTCTAAGGTGGGCCAGGGCGACACTGAGGAACCATGTCTGGAAAAACTCAAAACAAACTAAAAGAACCCAACAAAAATAAAGTATCCGTTTTTTTTTCCTTAGAGGTAAGAGGAGCTGTGTTTCTTAAGTGTTCTCTAATTAATATTTTAGGTTTACTTAAAAGTCAGGATTGAATCATAAATCCACATCTTAAATCTTTTGACAACTTTATAGAAATAAAAATGTCTCATTTTCAGATGATTATGTAAAAAAGTTACTGCAAAAGGGGATAGGTGTGCAGAAACATAAATAGAAACTGGTTCTTCTCTAAGCAGAACTAATGCGCTCTCTCTCGCTCTCTCTCTCTCTCTCTCTCTCTCTCTCTCTCTCTCTCTGTGTGTG